GGGGGGGGGGGGGAGACGGTGGAAGCAATGTATCCTGGGATGCTGCAGGACTGCAAGTTCCTTATTTTATCTCCATGGAACTGACTGAAGTTACACAAGCTAGGTAGGATGGCCCAGAGTTATGCCTCACCTGAAGTGATGTAACTGAGATGCTCAGAGGCCGCGTAGCATGAATTAAGGAGCTTTTTAGCATTAATTAATGAGCTAATATTGCAAGAATGCCACCCAATTACTCAAAAATCATAAGTGGGATTCCTAAAATTATATTTTCATAGATTGTAACCCCGGAAGGAACCTTGGAGGATCATCGGATCCAGACCCCTGCACCAAGCAGGAAATGTCTTAATCTTATTTGATTAAGACATTGATTAAAATAAATAAATAAATAATGTGTTTATTTTAACATGAATGTTATTTTGAGCTGTTAAGAGGCAAGGTTTCAGTAACTTTGAATTGTAGGGATAAAATTTTAAAAAGCTCATTAGTGACTTAAATCCAACCAAAAGTCAGTTGGACTTATGTGCCTCAGTGAATTAGACACTTCAAAAAATTTTACCCAAGAATAGGTTTTTTTTTTAATGAAAGCTGAGAATCTCAAATAATCATATGGCTCCAGTAGTTAAGACTTTTATGAGGAACCTAAACTGTGAGACTTGAGATAAAACCATGCTAGCTGACAGCACCTAATAGAGACTTTGACCAAACAGAGACCATATGTTCTAAATGCATGTTTCCCAGTTACTCTCCTTCCTTCTGACCGATGTTACACCTATAAACAAGAAAGCAAAACTGGTCCCTTAACAAAAAGATGGAAGTCAAATTGTGGGCCAAGTACTTCACCAGAGTTTTTCTGTATTTATAAATATGTTTTAAATAGTGTCAAAAAGCATGCTAAAATGTTAAACTTTGAGCTTGAACCTCATTGCAGAAATTTCACTTAAGCTCAGAATATGAATTCTTATTTGAGCTAAAGTATTTTTGTAAGCAGATATGTGTACTGTCATTAAAGACAACATATTATACTCTTAATTTTTGTAAGCCAAGTTTTTCCCCTGCTCATGATTCTTTTTTTATATTAAATTAGTAACAGAGTGAATGCAAAGATAAGATATGAAGGATTTGTTTTTTGAACAGCCTCCAATGCTCTAGAGCTGCAATAGAAAAAAAAAAGTACAAAAATAAACACCCTCACTCAAATAGCACCAGATACAGCAACACTCCATGAACATCTAATTCAATAATACCTCATCTTCCAAAGTCACTATACTTTTCAGATATCAAGGCAATAGAATAGAGGAGCAAAACAAATTTTAATGTTCTAAACGCAAGAAGATGATGGGAGCAGAAAATGAAGTCTTATGTTTTATTGTAATTATCTGCTGCTTTAGTGATTTGTGTATTACTCCCAAATTTGCTTTATAACTCTGAAATCTAAAATTCAAATTTCCCTATATGCTGTGAGTAAGCAAAACCATAATAAAACATTATTTTTGTTAAGACCAGATTTCACAAATTTGCTAAACTAAAAATATTACCAATTCACAAAAAGAAATACTCAGATGAGGTAGTGAATTTATAACTTTCAACATATAAGAAGTCTTTCAATACTCACTAAAAGATATATTTTCTGTCTTTATTTTCTTCATCTTTTCTTACTGTGTCTTTCTCCCTGTTTCTCCAGTACACATACTATCAACAATATGAACTCGTTTCAATTTTTATAACACTGTAAAAGTCTTCCTGCATTTTCTTATTATCTGAGTTGATAGACTAATTAGACACAGTCAAGGTTATATCTAGGTGTTCCAATAAAAAATGGTTCTAATTGCCCCTAGACTGAG